CGACGCGCGCACACACACACACACACACACACACACACACACACACACACACACACACACACACACACCAATGCAGCTTCGCTGTGCGTTCAGCATCGTCGTACAACTTATTGCGTATTTTATCGATCATCTGCGGAACGAGACGACAATCAATATCATATCTCGCAGCCACGTTGCGGCAAGGAAAGTAATGTCAAAAGTTGATCCGAGAAAGGGGTATGCGAGATCACTCACTTCACTCTCCGATCTCTGCGGCATCCTCTTATTTCTGTGCGACGTTGTGATATTGATTGCTCCGATCCCGAAAATATTATAATTCATAAATATTGGTGTCAGATTAACGCTCGAGATATTCGGCGGCGAGATTAGTACATCCGATCGAACAAATCGCTCGGAATAACGTTTAGAATCTACCGATTGGAACATGAGTCCCTGGTGTGTGAATTTCAATAATTGGGTCCCTGTATCGTACACCATTTCCTCCCCATTCCATCCGACCGTATCTGATCGTCTACATATCCGCGAATCTCTTACATTTATACGTATCATACGCGAGAAATCTCTCTATCGCAGGGGGGAGGAGGGGAGGGAGGGGAAAAAAAAGAAAAGAAATGAAGCGCCTCGCGGCTGTTACTTGTCTCTCATTTCCTCTCCCTTTCTTGCTATCTGGCTCGCACAAATAAAAATTATCCGCTCGAAAATCGGAAACGGGGCAGCGGAGGGATATCCCGTACATCAAGAGCTATACACAGTTCGCTATTATCGTTTGTTAATTTGCTGCTAACTATTCCTAACGCCAAGCAGCGAGTCACACCTATGTAAATTTATCATTTCAATATATCCATATGTTTATATATATATATGTATATTTATGTATAGAGCACTATGGAGATATTAATATATATATGTATGGTACATATGATATATTAATATGAGATATAACGTTTTTTTTTCTATATGGTCACAGTGCGAACGTTTTTCAAATGCGACGACTTGCGGAGCCGCCAGCGTCGCCGGCAACGCGATACTTTGAGCTTCGATTGACCTAATGACGAACGGGACGCGATTTTCCGATGCCTGAATCGCCCTCGTCATCGTCTAGCGAAATCATTAAATCTAGTCAACGATCCGTTTATGATAATTATAATGTATCGACGGAAGCGCACTCCTCAGCGTGCTTCGATCGATATCCATGTCTCTATAATCTCTTAACTGTCAGGACAGAAACCGATATATGTATAAAATTTTAAAATTGAATTCAATTCTATCGTCCTATAAATATGTTGAGAATTAAATGTCTATTTGTGATATCTATGTCAGATTTTCTTTACAATTTCGACTTCGCTTCGAGAGATAATAAAAAATTAAAGAATAAAATTCTTATCCTTTCTCTCTTTTTATGAACGTTACAAATGTTTATAATAATATCAAGTGTAGAATTAATCATATATTCTATATATAAGTAGAAAATGCCCCGTGCGTAAAACTTTAAAAACTTAAATTCATCGGAATTATATCGGTTTCGATCTTTAACTGCACAAATTCTCGGAATTTACAATTGTGCTTGTAGTTTTTCACTAGATAATATGAATTCTAAAATTTTACGAGTGTCATTCGGAGTTAAAGAATCAAGCGATAACCGAGCAAAAGCTCGATGTTAATTTGATTAGAAGCGCGTATCATGAGTACTAACGGAAAAATTGACTATTAAATCGAGCCATGATCGCTGCCTTCGTAATAATAGATTTCACTGGCCGTATTTCTCTCGTAGAACGGTATCGAATATTATTCGCTAAGATTTTAGTTACATACTGTACAAATTCGCCAGGATCGCCGTGATTAAGAGACCACACGAGATTCACGAAAGAAGGAGACGCGATGATAAATGACATGTTATGAACTAAAATGCATCAGATTTTATATTGCCAGGATTTGAATTGCATATAGACGCATTCTTCCTGTATCTGAATTATAGCACGGGTAGAAGAGGCATCTTCTCGTCTCACGTATCATGCTGCCTGTTTCCTACTTATACAAATTTTACTGGGTTTTTTCAATTTTTCAATCGCGAGACATAATTAATTATTAATTAAAAATACAAAAAAAAAAACGAGAATATAATGAAAATCAGTAAACGTATTTCTTAAAAATGTCAATTTTTAATAAATTAAAAGCTGCGTCTTATACATGTAATTTTATATTGAAGCATTCGTGAAATAAATTCCTAATTAAAAATAATCAAAAGTAAAATAAATAAAAAATGCATGCTGTATTAAAAAATAAATCGTAAAATGCCATATATTTTTACAAGAGTATTTTCCTCTTTTACCCGGGAAGAAATGTAACCGAAAAGTGAATGACAAAGACATTTGTACATCGTAATGATTTCCACGTACGCACGCATCTCCACACGTAGTTCAATCGAGACCTTTTGCGAGATAACTTTAGATTGGCAGACGAAGCGAAACAGGACATTCTGCGGGAAGCATGAATCGAATTCGTGCATAGGAAAACATGCACGATCAAATGGTCCTGAGGAACGCACTGCTTCGCTTCTTTATTTATAAAATAGAAGACAATTATTATGGGCAGAGAGCTCAGTAGTCAGTCAGTGTTCAGTGAAGTAAAGAAGTTTGCATAAAATTCAACGTTACTTTTGTTATAATTGCTCTCATGTTTGCCAATATCTTATTCACGATATAGATACTCTCTCTTTCTTTTTGTAATTGTACATTATGTATACAGGCATTCGCATTAGCGATGTAAACAAGATTATAACAAACAGAAATGTTCATTACAATATTAGTATCGTAGGGCGCAATGGAATAAGACAAGATGCATAATATATTTTCACATACAAATCGCCTATTGGATATAACATTAGTCTTATATATTGCTATTTATATATACAGTTGTCTTTAACGTGTATCGTTACAAAAAAAATATATATAAATTATTATGTAATATCAACAAGTACGACCTTCACGCCGTTTGCTGCTAAATAAAATTTAATTTATTTTAAAGTTATTCTGACGGCGATACAAAAGAAAATCGATACTCTTAGATTTTATATAAGATTGAATAGCTTTGAAAAAAAATAAAATCCTTGAATAAGCACATGCATATTGTTTTATCCAACCAGCGCCCATTGTAAATTATATATTCCAAGAATCCAGAGATCGACTCTTGATTATCTATAATATACAGATTCCTCTATTTGAAATTTACATCTATTTGAATGCGGTCCCTCGTTATGTGTATATCCGTTCATGAGTATTTCTAACCGGCTCACGTATATTGAGGTAGACGTAAAATATTAATTAAGTAGCCATTTCTGTCCCGTTGCGATTTCAGACGACAAGTTTGTTGGCAAGAATTTACAGCGACCGGTGTGCAATATATAAAAGTACACACGGATAACTGAGTCAAGGCAATGAGTCCTAATTTTAAACCAAACACGTTACCGAGTCCGCCAGTACCTTCACAGCGCGTTACAAGTGGATCCCACGACTCTTGGAATATTCATAGATAAATTAAATGACAAGTACAAAGAATGCGACACAAATGTGTATGTAAAGTAATCTATATATATCTATATAAAGTACTATGAAAAAAATTTTTCTTTCTTCTTTTAATTTAAGTTCTCTCATCACTAATTAAAAATATGATTTAACAAGTGGTACAACTACACAAATGGTCAGCCGATGTATGTTTGAGAGTGTTACATTAGGAAGCACGCGCGCGGCCATTTTATATATGGAAATTAGCGGAATGTTGCAAGATCTTTAATAATTTCCGGATTTTGCGACACTTCGCTCGCTGCGTTTGAGAGGCGACTTTCCTTGAGGCGACTTCCGCAATATTGTCAAATCACCATTTGTAAAAGGTATATAACAATCTTTTCGAAACGTTTTCGGTTTCGTAACATTTCCCACGCGGAGACACGCTCGTAGTGTACGTATGATTAATATAACAACATATGTTACAACTCGTTTCCATAATTCATATTATATCAAACAGTTTTCTAGTGTACGTGTGTATGTGTACATGTGCGCTCTTGAAACGATGCACTTGCTTTTCGCAAATCGGGTCGCGAAATTGTGATTTTCTTTTTTCAGTACGGAAATAACACCTGACAAGTTTGCAAGTGTTTTTCGGCTTCCTATCACACTCTCGATTTATAATTGCGACAACTGGGCGGTAAAGTGAAAGTTGCAGAGATATTACAGATAAAACAATAAAAAACGCGATCACTTTTTGATTTGCAGCCAAGGATGCTTCAGGCACTCGGCTGCAGTGGCTCGCATGCTCGGATTGAACTCGAGCATAGGTATTAGGAACTCTGCGAACTCGCGCGCTTCGTTCGGAGTCCACTCGTATTTCTCCGTCAACACTTCATACAGGCCCCATGGTTTCAACCCGGTAATATGCTTTAATTCACCTTTCCTATTGAAATATATCCTCGAGTTCTTCCCCGAAAGAGCGATACGTCTCGGTATCTCTCCCAGCAATTCGATGATATGAGCCAAATGATCTTCATCTCTAAAACATAAATAAGAATCGTTTCAATACTTGAAATAATCAAGCGATTTTAATATAAAATTCATATTATAATCGCAATTATAAGTGTGAATGTTGTAAATCATCACCTGCAGTAATCCTTGCCGTTGTGAGGTTCAAAAAGATAATCTCCAGTTGCCAATTCAAACGCCATGCAAGCAGTGGACCATATATCGGCAGAAGTATCGTAACCAGAACCTAACAGAACTTCGAGTGACCTGTACTGACGAGTTTGAATATCGTCCGTGAATTTTTTATGAACCCAGCATGCGTTTCCAAGATCTGCTATTTTTACATCTATCTCGCAGTCCATTATGGCAGGATCCAGAGGAGACATGGACGCCCGTTTCAATTGCTTACTTTCCGGTGGGTTCAATGATCTACGACCTACAAATAAGATGAAGAATGACAGATAAAATTACGTTAGGAAACAAAGATAAATAACAGCGATAACAGCGCGATTACTCTACCTTCGCTACATTCATCAGTGTCATCGGGATCAGGTGGTAGGATACCTTCGCCACAACTTTTCTCCACATCGCACAGAGTGACATTGTCCATTTTTTCAGATTGTTCGGACGATGGATTCTGTATTTTCTCACCGCCCGCTAAACCATCTACCCCATTCACATGTAAGGAAGGTGCAGATGGCTCCGAGTTGTCGGGTGATCCTTTGCTCTCCGTATTGTCCTCTATGCTCTCCGTATTGAGATCCTGGTCTAAACTATTCGTTTCAACCTCTCCGTTTTCTCTCGTGCTATTCGCGAGCTTAATTTGTTCCTCTAACTCCTCTATCTGCTCCATTTGTTTCTTCAAGAGCTCGTTTTGGCGTTTGGCTTTTTTCTTCAATTTTTTCTTCTTGTTCTTGGACATTTTGGAATTCGGCGTGGGTTCTTGAAACTCTTTCGGCGCAGTGGAAATCAGAGATACCGGTAACTTCGCCCCCATAGAATGCAATTCTGTCGCTTCACATGCTAATTTTCGTATATAAGTCTCATCGACGCATACAAGAACATTTTCAGGTTTAATGTCTGTATGAATAATTTTACCTGAAAGAGAATTCAACATGTACTACATGTACTACATAACGGTAAGTGTATCGTAATCGGAATCATAGTGAGCTTCCTTCCATTTTAAAAGTAATTTTATGGTAAATAATATTCTGGTAAACTACTGCGTAAAACTGACTAATATATAGACTTGAATACTACCAATAGACTTAAACAATCATCTTACATTTATTATGAAGATAGTCGAGACCTTCGAGTACTTGTCTGATGACGCGCTTAACGTTATTTCTTGGAATTCCTCTGTAGTTCGACTTGATAATCAATTTAAGAAGATTATGTCCAAGCACTTCAAATACCATGCAAACATGCAGGCCGTTAATGCCGCTGATCTTGAAGTCATTGAGCAACTGGACGGTCTTATTGCGCTTAGGATCGGTGGGATCTGTATCGCGCACGTCTTTTAACAATTTAATTTCATCCAATGCAGTCTCAGTGAAATGGGATGCGGATTTCACTATTTTAAGCGCCACAAAACGTTTATCCTGCAGAATAATTTCAAGATATCCCATGTGTTGTCTATGTAAGTGTGAAAGAGAAGATTAATCGCCGTAATCCAAGATTGTATCGTACCTGTAAGTCCCAGCAGAGCCATACGGTGGAAAAGTGACCCCAGCCGAGCTTACGGGTGACATGATAGCGATTTAAAAAGAGATCTCCTATCTTCACGGGATGGTACCCGCCTTTACAGTAGTCACTGCTGTCCTCCTGTTCCTCGTCGTCAGTACTGAATACATCGTCGTCTTCTATCGTTTCATTGCTGGAACTATGACATGGTACCAATCTACGACAAATTCGTCAATCGTAAATAACAGGTTACAACTAACGCGACGCTTGCAACAATCGATTCTTCCTCGTGACATAAAATCAAAGAGCGAATGAAGCAGAAAAACAAATGTGTAATTAACAGCGTTAATGATATTTGCGGTGATGGTGCTCCCACATTTAACAAGCATAATTAATGTTGAATGACTTCATATATAAGAAATAATATATAGTCATTATAAAAAAATTAAATAAGAATTGTAATAAGGAATCTAACAATTTTATATTCAGTGTTTTCGACAACACACTTGATACACGCTATTGAGATCCTGATTAATGAAGCTTACATGTAATCGTCGGAGAGATTATGGAATAATTATTTATATTAACCCATATTATCCACAATCATTGGAGATTATCATCATTATATTGCTGTATTAATTATTATTATCCACGATTTCTCTTTCCCGCAATCACGAATATATAATTATCAATCTATCGGTATCTCTGAAATGAGACTCAAACGACGACGTGAAAAAAATCGAGTTTGGCAGATTTGGCGCGATTTAACGTGCCGAAGGCGAGATTCCTCTCAACGGCAAGCTGTCACCGTTGACGAAGATACGCAACAATACACGATCCACGTTAACGAAACGTAATTGTAACGTAACGTAAAACACCCGGGATGAGTCTCCGCGTACCATGCAGCTGCACGCCGACCCAGCAGGGCACATCGGGGTTACCTGGTCCCGTTGTCGCTGTTATAGGCGCGCTGCGGGGGGCCGTCCGAGGCGTACTCATAAGTATTGGTGGTCGTGGTGGTAGAAGTGGTCGTTGTGGTGGTGACGTTGGTGGCTGTAGTGGTGGTAGTGGTGGCAGCGTTGGCGGCGGCGGCGGTGGTGGTCGCGGTAGCCACTACCTGGCCACTACCAACACGCGGCCCCTTGGAGCTCTGCGCGTCTTGCTCGCTCTGGGAATTGGCCTTGCCCTTGCGCTTGCTGGGCTTGTGCCGCTTCTTCTTCGCTTGGATTGCCAGCACCCGTCTATTCACATCTGTCTTGGCGCTCATCCCGCCGGCCGACCACTGGACACCCGCGTCAGGCTCGACCACCGGTGCTCCGCTCACTGCCGCTGCCTCTTCCTCCTCCTCCTCTTCCTTCCCCTCCGTCCCCAACGCCGACGCCGCTGTTGCTGTTACCGCTACTGCTGTCTGTTATCCTCTTTCCGACGTTCTCTCCGCACGCACTGCACGCAGAGGCACGCAGAGGCACGCACGACCCACACTTCCGCCCGTTCCGGGCCGCTCCTTCGTGTTCTCTTCGCTACTCGTTACTGCTGCCGCTCTGTCGCTGCTGCTGGCAGTGCTAAGCTCGCCCTCGCACACCGATATATCGCGATTACACTCGCACCGATTCCACGATTCGACTCGGTTCAACTCGCCTCTGTCTCTTTTCCTCGCTCTATCTTTCGTTCTCTCTTTGTCTCTCCGTCGTCCTGAAACTCGGGCGCGCGGTCCACTGCGTACGGTTATGAAGATCGGAACTCTCTTCTTTTTCTCTCTCTCTCCCTCTTCCGATTCGAGATTATCACCTACTTCATCTCTCGTACTCGCTCGGCCGTTGTTTGAGTATGGCCGTCGCCGTTTCTGCTGCTGCTGTGCACGCACGCACGTCCGTTTGTCCGTCCGTTTGTCTATCCTTCTCTACGCGCGTTACTGTGCCGCACGGCTACCTACCCACCAAGCAGGTGTCGCCGTGCCTCGTCCGCTGGTAGATCGTCGACGTCGCACACCGCACTCTACCGCCACCGTCGGCCGTCGTTGTTTATTATCCTCGTCTTGTCTCGTCGCGCGGACAAGACACTCTCGGTCCGCAATCGCTCGCTTACGCACACTCGCTCGAGGACACGCGAACGCGACGAACGTGCGATCTCCCACCTCTTCGCCTCACCTGTGAGTCCCTCCGGTCGTCGGCGGCGGCGGCGGCAGCGACAGCCCACCGGTTCGGTCTCGGGCCACTACGTCAGCGCCGATCGCGATTACGCTCCTCTCCGCACCGTGGCAGCAGACGTGGCTCCGCAACTCGGAATGGTCCCTCGGTCACGAAGATTTCCACCCTTTTCTACGTTTCATTCATCTCATCCTTCGCGTCCTTTCGCGGGTCTACGCGAGGTGAAAAAGGAGGAGGGGGAAAGGACGCACGGAGATAGCTGCCTCTCGTCTTACCTAGGTGGGATCTACCGTTCCTCTCTTTCGACAGGGCGCGATGACGTCTGCCGCATCATCACGGCGCGATTGCGCGCTCCACAGAGCTCACAGACTATTTCGCACGGACTCCGTCGGTGCGAGGGACAATTATTATTAGTTTACGGCAGGGCGCGCGCGATTAAAATATCGAGCGTTGTGCCGCGCCGTCGGAACGCCGCGAACTTCTGAAACTTCCTTATTCCGCGTATGCCGAATTAACAAATCCAAATCGAATCGTCGGGTGATCGATGCGAGAACGCGAAGCCTACCCGTTGCTCGCTTTCCAACACTGGAAACGAACACGCAATTCGAGATTTCGAACATTCAGTTGCCTCGAACGTGAATGTTACAGATACAAATTTTACAATCTTTATTTATGTGCGATCCCGCAAACTCGAATCTTCTTCTTTTTTAAATAACTTTGAAAGTCAACAATTAATCCGTATGTATGAAATATGAGAACTTTAATTCCGATTAAATTTAGTCAGGATTAACTTAATAAGCACTAAAAAATGTTTATGATTACGACTTGATGTGTGATACATATTTAAATATTTAGAATATGATTCTATTAGAGACCTCCATTAGATCTTTATTAGATTTCTAACAAAGTGAATGTGGATTTTATGGAACTTTCACACATTGAAAAAAATGCTGTTGAATGAATATCATTAGTCTAATTGGAAATAATTTCGTTAATTTAATGACATTATTAATGAAACAAATATGTCATGCTCTTGTTTTAATAATCAAGAT